TCGAATCCTAACGACTCACCAGGCAGCTCGAGGCTTGCTTGCACTCGGGGAATACTTTCACCGGCTACGTGCCCTCAGTTCTCTATGGACTGCCCGTCCTCGTGAACCGACATAGTCAGCTGCAAGCCTCATCTGCTTAGATATATATATATTCTTTTCCAATGAACTTATGTCTTGTTTCAGGTGTAAATATGTTCAGCTTAGTGGCTGCCTGAGTGTACCAATTCAAAACATATAGGTTTTCAAGTCATATGTCTCCAATGCCTGTAGCATATTAGCTAGTTTGTTGGGTAGATTGACTTGAAATGCAAGATGAATTAGCTGTTACTTGATTTGTAAATTTGCTTGAGACAATTATTGCCATATGCATACCAGCAGTTACTATTTTATTAAGGTTGGGTGAGGGAGTGAAATGTGCAGATTGTTCTTCTTCTTTATGTCATCTCCCTGAAGTTATATATTATTTGGAATTCATATTCCTGTTTGCCTGATGATTTGCACATTTGATCAATAGCAGAATATGTTCCTGGTTTTAAAGTACAAAATATGTACATATGTTCTTCTTTTTTCCCCCGAGAAATATTCTCTTATCAGATAAGCTCCCGTGGAATATAATCAATAACTTATGATATGATTCATTTCATCAATTTGATAAAGTAAAAGAATAGTAATCCATAATTATCAATTTGATTATAAACTTCTAAGGCAAAACGACACTTGTAGTCCTTGTGGTTTCCAACTTTTACCACTAAGGTCCCTGTGGTTTCAATTTCGTCACTTTTGCCACTGTGGTTTAAGAATCCAAGCAATTCAAGGACACTTCTCAATTTCCGTCAGATTTATGTTAGTTCTGTTAGGGCATCAGCACGTGCCCCTCACATGGAGGGGCATTACGGTCAAATCGAAACTCTTCATCCAGCAACGAGTGCCCCCTCCCACACCCCACCAACCCAGCCAATCTCTCTCCCAAACTCTCACCAAAACACTTCAATTTACCGGAGTTAATCAATTTCTTTTGTTTTTGTTTTAAATTTGGATTTCAAGTTAAAATCCAGTTGTAATTGACTTTTTAAGTTCGGTTCCAAATCTGGGTTTACAAATATGGGGGCAGATTGGGGTTGATTGGGGATGGAGGTGCGTCGGGGGTGGGAAAGAGAGAGACGAGAGGTGCGTCAGGGTGGGTGGGGGTGTGGGACCCGCGGAGTTCGACCCGTCGGATGTTCTGGTGGTCTGGGTTTTCTTAAGACCGCTCGGCCTTCGCGTGCCGGTTCATCAACTCCAATTCCTAATTAACCGTCTGGTTCATTTCTTCATACAACGAACAAATCCCATCATCGTAATCCCGCTGATTATTCGTCTGTCATAGTAAATTACCTCACAGCCTGTGTGATGTATGTCTCCCTCTTTTGTCTGGTTAAGTTATTTCTGGTACCTAAAAAAAAGGCAAAACGACACTTGTAGTCCTTGTGGTTTCCAACTTTTACCACTAAGGTCCCTGTGGTTTCAATTTCGTCACTTTTGCCACTGTGGTTTAAGAATCCAAGCAATTCAAGGACACTTCTCAATTTCCGTCAGATTTATGTTAGTTCTGTTAGGGCATCAGCACGTCCCCCTCACATGGAGGGGCATTACGGTCAAATCGAAACTCTTCGTCCAGCAACGAGTGCCCCCTCCCACACCCCACCAACCCAGCCAATCTCTCTCCCAAACTCTCACCAAAACACTTCAATTTACCGGAGTTAATCAATTTCTTTTGTTTTTGTTTTAAATTTGGATTTCAAGTTAAAATCCAGTTGTAATTGACTTTTTAAGTTCGGTTCCAAATCTGGGTTTCCAAATATGGGGGCAGATTGGGGTTGATTGGGGATGGAGGTGCGTCGGGGGTGGGAAAGAGAGAGACGAGAGGTGCGTCAGGGTGGGTGGGGGTGTGGGACCCGCGGAGTTCGACCCGTCGGATGTTCTGGTGGTCGACGACATTCACAGCTCTTAATTCACGATTTCGCCTCCGAGAAGTCGCACAGAGGTGAGGAGCGATCCAGCATTTGTTTTCTGGGGTTGAGCCGAGGAGATCTTGAGGTGAGGCGCGATTGTTTGGGAGGCAATGGCTGGAGGCTGACGGGACAGAGGGTGGAGGGTGGGTTAAGGAAGGGAGAAAGGGAGAGTGGGGTCAAAGTTGGATTGGGGAGAAATGGAGAAAGAATTTATGATCAATTAATTATTAGACTCCAATTGTCATGGATGAATATTTGCTTTTGTGAAAAGAGAAATAGGTTTTATTTAAATTATTGTGGTGCCTCTAATATTTTATACAAGAAAAATACCACGTTTTCCCTCTTTTTTTTCTTTTTTCTTTTGGCGGGTACTGTCCGGAGTTCTAACTGTCATGCTACGGGAAGCCAAACCGTCCACAAAAATTTCCCCCGTAAATTAAATATAAAAAAAGAGGAAAATACAAATACCAAAATTACAAATTAAAGAAAAATACAGAAAAACTCAAAGATTCAGTCAGATTCTAAGAAATGTTCATTATCAGAACCTTTTCACTTTCTTCACGTCTTCAACCTTCGTAGCCCCAATTGTTACCCCAAAAGCAAACCCTAATTTTAATTTCTAATTTGATTCTCTTCATTTCCTTCTAATCGGTCGGAGGTCTGAGCTGAAAACCTGAGATAGTACGCGAAAAAAATGAGCAATTTGAGAACCATCTGTAGGCCCCACACGGTCTTCACCTCCTTCATGTGTTGCAGACACCAAGCTCGCTTTAGCTCTAGGGTTTCATTTCGAAACCCTAATTACAACCCTTGTTTTGCACCTGTGTCCGATTTTGCAAGATTGAATTGGAGCGGGTCCTGGTTCAGAGTGAATCAGAGGAGGACCATGGTTAAGGCATCCAATTGGGATCAACCCAAGTCTCCCTACGAAACTCTGGGTGGTTGAATCTTTCTTAACTGGGAAAAGTTTAAAGCTTCACGCTTTGATTTTCTGAATTCTGGTATTTCTAACAAGTTAATTGTTTCTGTTTTTTTTTTTTTCAAACACAGAACTAGAGAGGGACGCTGATGACGACCAGATCAAAATTGCTTACAGACGTTTGGCTAAATTTTATCACCCGGATGGTTTGTTCCTTTATCTTCATTAGAAATGTTTTTCAAACCTTTTTCATATCTGTAAATTGCTAGTATAATCACAAATAAAAAGATACATTTTGTAAGGAAATGATGTATGTAAAAATTATTGGTTCAATTAGGTGAAACCCTTTTCCTTGAATCTGTTGGCCATAATGACGGGTGCCTTTGTTTTATTTTTTATTCGGCCATGTTAATTCCAATATGAGAACCTTTTTTAAAAAACTTTTTTATACAATCGATATTCTACTTTAATCTAATCTAAACTACGTGGAGGGGGATTCGAACTTGGGTGCAGAGTGGGGAGCACATCCGCTCTAGCCAACTTGGCTAAGCCCATGTCTGCCAACATGAGAACCTTTTGATGCAACAACGTTATAGTGCAAAACAGGAACTTTTAGAAGACATTGAGAATTGTTATTTGCTTTTCTTCCTTAATTTTCATGCAATATTTTACTGTCTTTCCTTGTGTATTAGATGGGTGCATGTATTTTTTTTTAAAGTTTGGTCGTGAGTGAATGCTCTGTGCAATATATTTGTCCCCTTTGCCTTCTATTGATTTTTGGGCTTAAAATTTTGTCTTTTTCTCTGAATTTTAAGTTGATCTGGTTGTCTTTCTCTTTTTAAGTCTATGATGGTAGAGGGACCCTGGAGGAGGGTGAAACAGCTGAAGCTAGATTTATTAAGATTCAAGCTGCTTATGAGTTGCTCATAGATGAAGACAGGAGGGGACAATATGATAGGGATAACCGAGTCAACCCAATGAAAGTAAGATTCCTAGTTTGCATTTTAATTACTGTGAACTTTCTTGCTGATTATTTTAGGATATATAAATGCTAATATTTTGAGCATAAATATGAAAATGTAAAGTAGATTCATGAGTTGTATGATAATTTATTAATAAACTGATAGCTTGGCTCCTCTTTTATTATTTTAGTAATGGATTCTTTGTGTGCACTGTTATATCAGGCATCTCAAGCATGGATGGAGTGGCTAATTAAAAAGCGAAGAGCTTTTGATCAGCGAGGTGATATGGCAATAGCAGCTTGGGCAGAGCAACAGCAGCGTGAGCTGAATATTCGTGCACGTCGACTTTCTCGTTCCAAGGTATAGAATCATTCTTTTAGTACATGAGTTAGCTGTAAAAAATTGTTTATGCAGTTCGCAAATGAAAATAAAAACAATATATGCTGCAGAGCCATGCCTTTTGCAGGATGTAAAAACATCAGTGGCAACTATATATCCTACTTGTCTCTTATCGTTACTGATCCAATACTCTCTTCAAAAAGCTCATGCTCATTTCTATGATCACAATTTTATAAGCAGCATCAAGCTATTATGTCATTTTATTTTGGCTGCATTCACTTCTACTTAATGCCTAGGGCCATTGGAAATCCAGGTTGACCCAGATGAAGAGAAAAGAATCCTAGCAAGAGAGAAAAAGGCCTCGGCAGAGTATTTCTCCAGTACCCTCAAGCGGCATACGCTAGTGTTAAAGAAAAGGGACATAATGAGAAGGAAAGCAGAGGAAGAGAAGAGAAAGATCATCGGTCAGCTTTTAGCGGCAGAAGGACTTGAGCTCGACACAGATGATGAAGAATCACGGTAGAGAAAAATTTACTCATCAGCTTCTAACATTGTATTATAGAATACCTTTTGGATTGGCCCATGGAGACAAATCCTTCCATATTTGTATTGTACAACGAAAGTTGAAAGAATCTGTATATATATCTTCCGTTGGAGAAATTTATAGAAATTAATGAGAAATTTAGATTTGTATATGCTTCAAAGAGATCTCTAAATTTTCAAAATGTTGAGCAGACTTGAACTTAGCCGAAGTGTTTGACAACGCCAATTTAAAAATATAAGGTTTCAATAAGAACTTAGCTTTATTCACCAGAACTTTACAGTTCCTCGAAATAAGAGAGATAATTACAACTTCTTTATCTCCACTCAAAAGTATGATATACATGTTAAAATTAATTTGATTACTTTCAAGAGCAAATTATGCTAACAATCTTTTGCTTGGTAAAACTAAGTACTAAAAGAAAATGTTGCCATCTTCTTAAACAGAAACTGTTTGTTGCCCAGATCCTCTATCAGATGAAATCGAGCTTTACTCATCATATATCAGAATTGTTGACATACGCTGAATGCCTCTCCACAATAAGTTCAATAAGCGGACTCTCCACATCATTATCACCGAGAGAATTGTTTCGATGAACTGAAACTTTTTCGTTACTTCTGACAACTACAACCTCTTCCTTGCGGGTCGAAAGTTCATTCGCTACAACCATATGCATCTTGTACTTCTTGAGAGCCATATCAGCCTTCTCTAAAAGAATCTTCGAATCCGTCTCTAGCTGTTTAGACAGTCATGTCAAAGGTTTTTAGTCCAATAAAGTAATACTGCATCTTGCAAGTTCTGTAATTTACTTTCATTATGGATATGACAGGTGAGCCAGTTGAGCAGGGGGCCTAAACTATCAATTTTTAAAATAAAAACATTAAGAAATTAGAGGAAGTTAAGGGGTATGATACTTAATGGTATATATATGATTGCATCGTATCCCTTCCCCCACACCCACCCAACCCCGCGCCCCCCCCAAAAAAAAAAAATCATGTACAGGTTGCCCCACAACCCTTCTGGACAAAAAGCCATACATACTGCTAATCCCCAGATACAAGAAAAACAAATCAGGACTAAAGTGCAGCAACAGAACTCATGAACGGATAAAATTTATGGATATGCCAGTAACTAAAGATAAGCAGAAGCTTCATATCTAACCTTGAAAGATATACAGAAGGCCTTTGGTGCCCAGTCTTGCCTTAGCACTAAGAGCATCTTTGGCACCTGAACAAGTCGCATGTCCAACGGCCCAGCCCCTGACTGAATTTTGTGTTCGGCCTGCACAATCCTGCTTTATTAAGAAAATGGTGCAGCTGATGCTTATTCTTGGATGAAACTTATACATATACAGGATGGAGGAGGATGCTGATTCTTTTTCCTTTATTTCATAAGCAAACTTCCCAATGACTAATCTCCAGCAGATTTTAATTTAAACAAGCTATTAAACATCAAAGATTCACATGTCAAGCCGTTCCCACCTACATAGAATAATATTGAGGTCATAAACATGTCTAGCACTTCGCAAAGGACTAGCTTATATTATTTGACTCCAGAGGTTCATATATGCCTCTAAAGAAATGCAATCAAGCTTCCAAGGAACATAGTCAAGCTATTGCTACCCCTTCCAATGAATATTGAGGTAAAAAAAACACTTCTTCTAGCAATTTTAAAAGGGCTGCACTTATGTAATCTGTCTGCTGACGTACAGCCTGAAAAACAGAGTAAAAAGCACAACACAAATTTTCAACATATTTAACCATTACCATGCTCTTCCAAGGAACATAAAAGTCAGACACTGCCGCTGCAAGATAAAGCATTGCATGTGGTCCAAGACTTCTCATTGATAAAGAAATCATCTGCAACATCTGCTCATAATACAAAGACCAATTAGTCAAGCATAGGAGAATAACTATTATATCAAAAACAACTGACAACATTTTGAGTTCAAAAATTGTATTCAACAACAACTGAAGCGAACCTGAAGATACTCAAATATGGTTGTAAAGGGAAGTTTCAACAAGAGGCTTCCTGTTACTGCCTGCAATAGAATACAGCCCACAAAGCATTCAAATTATAGAGTGAGTAAAAAAAGTTAAATGTGGAATAAGTAAATGCATATACTACTGAATGCATGATAAATATAAGTGGTCCATACAGCACGATTCTTAGTGATGGCGTTCCTCACTGCTTCAGAATGTGGCTGGGACACTGGAATGTGAAACAAAGTTCAGTCATCTGAGCAGGAACCGTCAAAGGTTTGTATAATATTAATTGTGAGATTTGATTATTTGGCATCACCTGGAAGCTGCTAAAGAAAAAATACTTGAAAGATTCTGGTTTCCCATCTTCCCAAAACCCAATAATCAAACACAATCAACTCCCTTAGAACAAAAAAAATCCGATCTTTTCTAATACTCTAGCAAACATGTCAAAACAAATGGCTACAACAATGTAGCTGACAAGGAGAAAGTGTTATGTAGCCTATCAGACTCATTGGCAATTAGGCCATGTTTGAGTAGTGTACTTAGAGAGCCATTGCACAATGATCGTGTTTCCATCACATATTGTGGCCTTTTCTCAAGGTAGAAATTTTTGTTGCTGGAGTAACTGGTATGAACTAATTTAAGTATATTTTGTCAGACCTAAACTTGAGAGGGAGGGGCATAAGTTTTCACTTCAGTCATCCATGTGCATTTATATTCTAAATACAAAAAGAAAAACATATTACAATAACTACAAACCTTTAATATTTGACTCATCCATATATTCAAAACATTCAAGCAAGGGATCATCGGGAAGAGATCTGCAATATGGCTGGCAAGTTCCCCTGCATAACATTTAAGGAAAATCCAAAAAACATAAGCAATAAGTCTATTCTACCGTACAAAATTGTTGAAATGAATAGAAGATATATAAAATGGTAAAACAGAAATTACCTCCGATAAAGAAAGATAACAGCATAACCTGCCTTCAGAAAGTACCTGCAATATTATCAGTCAAGTTTAATCTATAAGTCTGTAATATTAAAGATGGCATACTCAGCGAGTTGTAAGGTTATATACTCTGTGGATGCTGCTCCTCTATGACCTGAGCTGAAGTTGTCGATGTAGCGAACACATCGTTGCTCTAGAGGAACTGTGGTACCCCCCGATGTCACACAGACAACCCTCCTAACTCCTCCACTTCCTACATAACATGTCAAATCAATCAAAATCCACTGAACCGAAGGTGATCAATGAAAAATATAACTGTGACAAAGCAAAAAGTGAACATGCCGGAAGGTAATGAATTCTTCTTCACAAATTCCTCGAGTTTTTCACTGATATCAACTTTGTTCTTCAAAGGAGGAGCTGAGTCAAAAAAGGCTTGGATTTCTGCATCCAGTGTTTCTTTTGGAATTTCCAACCCATTTGTTAGAGACATTTGCAATTGCCTGCAATCCAATTTCTTATCAAAAACCCACAATATGATTTCATGTAAATATGCAAATGCACCGCCAACATACAGAGAGATTAGTAATTAAAACTTTCCAACTTGGTACAAGGTTCACTAGTCTGAAGATTATGAAGTTACCCTTATAACTCAAAATTATAAACCATCTGCTAAGTAGGAAAATGACTATACAAAACAGATTTATTAAGGAAGAAACTGAACACAGTGAAGACTAAACTGAGGATCAACTATATATAACCCCCCAGCCGCACCAACCCCACACAACAACCCACCAGCCACCTCCCCAACTCTCCTGCCCTTACACCACCGCCACCTCCTTCCTCTCTCTCCTCCGCCTACACCACCTCCCTCTCTCTGCCCCAACTCTTCAGAATTTCATACGCAATCATGAAAAAGGTGAGAGGACAGATATGACATATATGGAAGGGAAATCAAACTGAATGCCTTTAGGTAACTACTAAGCATTTCGTTTGATGGAGAGGTCCTCAAGTTTAATCCAAAATACAATCACGACATTGCTAACCATATAAATCGTAACCCATAATACAAATTCAAAACCAAAAAAATGGGAAAAATCAAAAGGGATTAGAGCATTGATGGGAAGTTGAAAGCTTACCTAAAGAACAAAGACAATGGCAAACTTGGTTGAGAAGATTTAAGAGCTCAAAATATAAAGAAGAGGATAGGTAGTTATAAAATGGAGCAAAGATACCCCTAAATTCTCAACCCCAATATATGTATGCTGGGATATTAAAGCAGAGATTCATTACAAATCAGAACCAAATTGGTAATGAAATCCCCCAATATCTTTGAATTGCGAAGAAACTCAAATGCATAGAACTAATACAAAAAGGAAAATTTGCCACACAAAAAAACCTGTATAGAGAGACCTGATAGCAGCTGATGAAGAGTTGGAATGGGTTTGGTTTTTGATGCAGAGAGACGGTGCCCGTTTGAAGATTGGAAAGAACAACAATTTATTTTTGGGTTGTGTACTTTAAACTTGTATGAAGTATGGAACGTTGAGATGTTTCATAGCCGTCTATTCCCGCGAAATATATAAATGATGAAAATCGACGGACATGAATGTGACTGTGGGAAATCCCAACCATAGTTGACCCCACCAACTCTATTTCGGCAGTCCAATTTGACTTCGTGTCTAAATAAAATTTCTGTGAAGCACCTTCTTCTGGAGAAAGCAAAACAGTATCCAAAAGAGAGAGGTAGCAAAATTAAGGTGAAGGGTTTTTTCTTCTGTCAACAAAAATAAGATAAACGTGTGTGGTATATCTATCTACCACAATAAATTATTAAATAACAAAACTAGGAAAAAATAAAAAAGGAAACCGGGTATTGAACCCGACGTGAATCGAACACGCAACCTTCTGATCTGGAGTCAGACGCGCTACCATTGCGCCACGGATCCGGTTGTTAAACTGCTTGCGTTAGGTTATATCTATATTAAATTTCTAACCAAGCGACGTCGTTTCCTAACTGCTCATTAAGTAGGTACACTGCCAAAACGCTTCAAAAGAGACTTCCCGCCAGAGCCCCAACCGTTTAACAGCTGGAACATCACAGCCCTCTTCTCCAAGAGACCCCCCATTTCCCCATATTCTTGCAGAGAACCCAACAATGGCCGTCGACCCATCGAAGCTCTCAATGGCCTTCGACCCATCAAAGCTTCAGACCCAAATCGACATCAAGCCTCCACCGCCTCCGTTCTTCACCGAATCAGCTGCCGAAACCCTCCAAGAACCCAAGCTCTCCTTCTTCGCCTCCCGCTACCGTCGTCCTCGCCGCCGTCGAGCTGACACGTGGCTCATCTCGCTCTTTGTTATTCTTCATATCGTCGCCTTCATGGCCACCATGGTCGTCAACGACTGCTGGAGCAAGTCTCATGGCGACTGTGTTCTCAAGGCCTTTGGGAGGTTGTCGTTTCAGCCGCTCCCCGAGAACCCACTCCTCGGCCCTTCGGCTTCCACGTGAGCTTCTCTTGCTCTTGTTTTGAAGCTTATTTTTTGTTTGATTTTAAGTGAGGATGAGTTTTCTTGGTGAAATCTTGGTAGGTTTTGTGTGAGTTTATGTGGGTTCTCTCTGTTTGTAAGGTTACTGAGAAAATGTGGGAGAGAAGTAAAAGAAATGTTCGTTCTTTGGGTTGAAGTAATCTCTTTTTTTCTCGTTAGGTTTCTGAGAAAATTAGTTAGTTCCTGCCGTGGTTCTTGGAAACTTTGTTGATTGAGATCTGGCTGCTGTGACCAATTTTGAGCAATTGGTTGATGTTGCGGTAGTCTAATTAGGTTTTCTCTGTTTGGTTGCTGAGAAAACAAAGGAACTTGTAAATTGATAGAAAGGTTTTATTTTTCTCTTTTCACGTAATTTCCTTTATTATTTTGAAGTCTCATCAAAGGGATACATCCGATTGTTGTCACTGGTTTTCAGAAACTGTACCCGTGTTTGAGATCAGTTTTGATCAAAGAGTCGGAAATTTTCTTATAGAACACATTTGGTTCTTCAGTTCTGTGATCAACCTATAGCTTTTATTGATGGAGAACAGTTAAAGGTTTTGTTGCCAAAAACTCGGTTACCTGTGGAGGCTTTGGTAGAATTCAAAGTGATTTTTGTTGTCTTAGGATTTGGCCTCATCTATCAAGTTGTATGAATTAAGAGCTGTGTTTGACTCTTGAGAATGCATGAACATGTTTGTGGTTTCTGGTTCAGATTTTCTTTTGCCCTTCAGACCTAATGTTAGTGGCATTGCAGGCTTGATGAAATGGGAGCTCTTCGACGGACATTTTTGACAGAGAACCACCAAACTTGGCGTCTTTTCACATTTCCATGTCTGCATGCCGGAGCCATCCACCTTGTGATCAACCTTAGCTGTGTTATCTTTGTTGGAATTCACTTGGAGCAAGAGTTTGGACCAAGTAGATTTTCCTTCCCATTTCAATTTCTGGACGTTATTTTACATGAGCAGTTAGGTTATGTGTAGCTCTTGAAAATTGCGTACACTGAATCACTGATGTTCTTAAATGTTTGTTTCTTTCAAACAGTAATGGTAGGGTTAATCTACATACTCTCTGCTTTTGTTGGTACGTTGGTGGCTGCACTTTTTGTTGAAAAACGCCCATCAGTTGGTTCTTCCGGAGCTCTGTTTGGGTTACTTGGAGCTACACTTTCTGCACTGACTCAGAACTGGGAAATGTACACCAATAAGGTTTTCCACCTATTGCCTTTCCCATTCAGTTTGATCTGAGTCCCATGATCTGATTTAATAATGTAATGATTGTTCATTTGTTTGGTTGCAGTTCACAGCTCTGGCATCAGTAATATTTGTCTCCATTGGCAATTTTCTCCTTGGTTTGCTACCTTATGTTGACAACTTCTCAAGCATTGGAGGCTTTATATCTGGGTTCCTACTCGGATCTGTGCTTTTATCCGGTCCCAAGGTCAAAGAAGTGGCGCAAGATAAAGGAGGCCTCATGGATTATGATCTCAAAAGTTATATCAAATCGAGGTTGAGGCAGAAGTTGGACAGGCCAGTCTATAGGAGTGTCTCTATTCTTCTCTTTGGTCTTATGTGAGTGTTTCTCGTTTTTATAGAAAATGCTGCACATTGTTTCTTATCAGTTTAAATTAACATGAGCTTTTATAAGAGGAGCTTTATTATATGCTGCAGGCTTGCTGGATGTCTGGTAGCAGTTCTGCAAGGCATTAACATGAACCAGTACTGCGGTTGGTGTCGGTATGCTGATTGTGTCCCTTCCAAAAGCTGGAGCTGCAGAGACATGGAAAATTCTTGTGAGGTATCTATCTGATCCTAGCGCTTCAATCTGTATAAAACTGAAAGTAATCCTCCCCTCCTTTTCCCCTTCCCCTATACAAAAGAAGCAAGTAATCTCTTAGAACCTAAACATGGCTTTAGTTTGATGGACAAGGGTCTCTCTCCACACTGTTGAGAAGCAGTGCAACCAAAGATAATTGATTTCAACAACATTCTAGGAACCAATAAGAGGAGTAAACTATTAGAACCTTTAACAAGTATTAGCACTCATTATGATTTCAAACGTACCCTGCTTAGAAAGTGAGCCACCCTGAACATGGAAGTTCTGCTAGGAAAGTATTAGTCATCTAAAGAGACTCGCCGGCGAAGAACAGAACTGTAATTATAGATAAGATAGGAAAGGAAGGTTTTCATCTTATAGGTTATTTCTTCCTCCCAATCACTTCAAATGCACTCAAATATATTCTGACCAACTTTCTTACAATCGATCTTGCAGACCATGGCGAGCAATGAACAGTTGACTTTGACGTGTATGGATAACGGGAATTTCAGGGTTCTTCCATTCACCAACATCTCTCAAGCTAGGACGAACGACTTGTGCAGTGTGATATGCTCATAGAATTTGCCACTCTTGTGATTCTGTTACAGCATGGGGAAAGATACAAACTTGTAATATCAATACTGTGTTGATAGTCATCAAGTTAATGTCGACTTTTGCAGTAGAAAGTTTTCAGCAAAGTTTGTAAGAGCGTTGACATGAGATATCTTTGCATTTTGAGCATTTTAACCGTCTCCCTTGTTGATAGTACCCTACATCGAATGATGAAAGCTTGATGAAAGCTTAAAGCCCGTCGATTGTCAATTAGTTTTGAGTTAAATGCTCACATTCTAATAAGAGGCATAAAATTGAAAATCATTGTAAAGTTTCTAAAGGGTCTTGTTTTCAGAATTCCAATCCTTCATAAAATCTGCATTTCTGGGTCCCCTTTAGTGTCGGCCGTCAGTCCTTAGTTAGATTATAATTCAAGTCATCCATCCATCCATGGCGGGACCGAATCAAACAATTATCATAAAGAACGACTAGTTAGTGCAACTGTTGTTGCTATTTGTGATTAAATTTAACTGTTTGTTAACTCAAATAAAATATTTTGGAAAATCTGAACATCTAGCGCCCGTGGCCTAATGGATAAGGCATCTGACTTCTAATCAGGCGATTCTGGGTTCGAGTCCCACCGGGCGTGCTTTCTTAATTATTTCATTTTTATAAAACTTAGGCACAGAAGTCTTATCAAAGCCCACCTACGCCAAGTCGGTTTTAAATCTTTTGTTTGGTCCACCAAAGGACCTAGGCTATTCACAAAATTTATTTCATATTTGTACAATTTTATTTTAGGAAGCTGATTTTCTTAGTCTCTTTTGTCCAATTATACTCCCTTTGTTGAAAATTGTATGTAATCATTTTTTTTTTTTTTTATCCATTTACACTCTCTTGTATGTAATTATCACCCTTTTTCTTATTCTTATAAGGGCGATATCCTAAACTATTCTAATATATCGGGAGGGAGTTTAAATTCGAGTGCAATAGAGCGAGCACATTGCCTTGATCAACTAACTCAACCCACAATTGCATATACAACTTAGAACTATTAAATACCACTGCTTGATAGAACTTTTATTGACATATAAATTACCAAATTTTTTTTATTAATATATATAAATCTATGTGGATGCTGATCTGAGGAAGATGTATTTAATTTCGTAGTACAGAAGAATATCACACAACTTTTTCTTTTCTGTTAATTTTGTTGACAGATGCGACCCCTTTTGCGGCTCTAGGTCTACACATTGGCCGCCCTTACAGTTAATTTACAGCCTTAAGAGTTGCCAGCAAGCCGCAATGATTTAAAAGGTAAATACTCAATTACAGTGCCAGCAAAACCCTCAATTCACTCAATTGCTTTTAACAATCACAGTTTTCGGCAGCCCAAATGCAAAATTCTTATTGGGTTTTCAAGCTTTTATGCTTTTCTTTTCTCTTTTTTTCTGGTGTTCTGTTTGATCTGATTTGGACCATGGAGGAGAAGTAGGCAAGTAGGGGGATAAAAATACATTAGAAAATTGCAGCTGTGGTATTTACTGTTTGGGCTGAATTTTTCAGCCTTATTTGGACTCTATGGCGCTTTCAATCCAAAACCCTAGATCTTGGACCATCCATAACATCTTTTGTACTTACCCCTCCTCCTGCAGCTAAATCCATAAATAGCCCACAAAGTTTAAAAACAAAGCATGCACCAACCATAATGTCTCTGTGTGGGCAGCCTTAGCACACAAAAGCATACAAAGTAAAACTCCTAGTCTCTCTCTTTTGTGTGCTCAATCGCCAGCTAGTCTTGCCAATAATGATTTTTAAAGAGAAATTCTTTTGTAAAAGTTAAATTTCAAAGATTCTTTGACTAAGGAAACATTTATTGTTGCCTTTGTTGCACACACACGACACATGGCCCTAAAAGTGAACCTAAGCATCAAATATTAAGAAACTGTATATTACTAACACTGTTTTACTACGCATTGCTGATCGCATCTCTCATAAATACGAGACTGTCTATGCCAACGTAGCTCATTTGTACGAGAAATATGATTCGAGTGGCAGTTAGTAAATTTTCCATATATAGTAAAAGGTGAGGGGTTTGGTGTTATTTCCTCCTTCTATGGCCTTGGTGTGTACACTCACTATACTCCATGATCAATTATTCTAGTGTAGGTACTTGTTTGCAAGAGTGTGACTTGGCTAATTAAGGCACTCTTGGTCAGAATCAACAAGCATGTCAGCTGTCAAAACTTATATGCAATTGGCATCTCAACAAGCGTATTGTTTTGTACCATTGAGTTTTTGCAACCATTGATTTGGCAACATGTGGCATGCTCTCCCACTTATGCACATTGTGATGCACGACCATGTAGAACCCTTCACGGAATTGCATACTCTAAATCAAAATCATACTCACGGCAAAAAAGGGTCACCTAGTTTATATATATATAAAGCCTATAGAGCACTATATATATATAAAAAAACCTCTAGAGTTGATGGTTTCAAGCTTTCACTTAGGTTGCAAAATTTATATGAATTTGGAAGGCTCCTCCCCTTTTTTTAGGGTATAGGGAGGGATGAAAAAGGGGACCCTATAGTGCGAAGGAATCCAGAAGTGGGTTTTTGCCTAGTTGAACCAAAAAGCAAAGAAAGATGTAGCCTTGAAACTCTCTCACCATCAATGTTAGTCAAAAAAAGGGTTGATGGTTTTATATGGGTCTAGTCTATATTCTATAAATCCAAAGGGAGAAGAAGATTTTTTTTTTGGATTTTGAGTATTTTACTTGGCCCCTTTCTTCAATATCTATCATCATTTTGAAGAATCCTACTACTTTGTTCTACAAAAAGGATATCCTAACTAGTTGACTCTTCTCATATTTCTCTCTCATAGGTTTGCACTCAAGCACAAAGAGATGCATTGTGTAAAGGGTAGAAGTGAATTGTATGTGTGGGTGGCATAACGTGCAAAGATTTTTATTTTTTTTTCGTTTTCGTGGAGCTACTCGTGCTCCACCCATACGCTATGGTACGGAGTGAAAATAATACCTTATTCAAAAGAGCATGAAAAAATGCTTCAAATTTGTCATCTACTTTTGTAGATATAAAGTATGAAGCCAACTTGTGTTATTTCTTTGTTTAACATTGATCTGAAGTACCATATCATTTAACCATAAGATCAGCTTGAATCCTCAAAAAGAAAAAGATACATCGCAGGATTCCATCCACATGATTGAGAATTTTCTCAATCCTAGCATCTAAGTCAATTTAAAAGCAAGATTTGGTGCTCCATCTTAAATATATGGACAGATAATGTAGCTACTACAATATATTTGGGGAATAATAATACATTGTATTGGGTACAAATATGCTTTGAACAATAATCACAATGATGAGCGATCCCATTACCTTAGCTTAAAATAATAGATTAATAAAACACAGGATTCCGTTAAATCATGTTTGATTATTGTCAACTATCTTTGCCAAACTCCCATATATAAAATCACAATAATAAAATAAAATCGTAAACAAATTGTATGACCTTGTCCAAATTTTATAACTAAAAATATTATTAAGGAAATTGATAAAATTTTATTTTGTTCTTTTTTTTAATTAATTAATTTAAAATTTTCCCGAATCTAAGACATTTTGAATTTTGATGGCAAAGTTCATCAGGTTGGGCCAGAGAGCAAAAAGAAAACTATACTTTTTAGAAGCTTAAGAATATGATTATTATCATCCAGTTGTTTAGTTATATCACTGACACGTGTCCTAGTATGCATAGGTAGGTAATACTTTAACCTAGCTTTAGCTTAACTTTTGCTCTTTTTACCAAATTGGGCAGTGATTTGCCCATGTCTGTGATAAGTGGAGCATCTTTGCTGCTCAAAAGACCATAACGCCCTTTCCAACTTAATTTTTGCTTTACTAAAATTTAATTTCAATTTTATGTAATTTGTCACAAAAAAAATAAGGATGAAAATAAAAAAGAGATGACATGTCCTATTATGATTTTTTTTTTCCAAATAATTTCAATTTTTTTTCAATTGAATACTAATTATAGGAAGAAAAATATAAAATATAAAATGAAATTATTTCATAGCAGACCAAATGAATATAAAAAACAGAAATATTTTTGTTTGTTTAACCCAAAAAAAAAAAAGAATTATAATTTATACGGTTAAAAGTTAAAATTGAAATTGTGGATTGCTGGCTTTGTGCATTATAAATTACATAATTAACGTTGTCTATATCATTCATAGGATTTGATAGTAGTCCTTGTCGAATTTACAGCTAAACTGTTTTAAATGATTTTTCTTTGGGGGGGTCAAAATTGCTTTAAAACGATTTTGTGTCTTTTCAGAAAAAAAAAATGGAGCACCATCCCAAAAAAGAAGCAAAATGATTGTCCACCGAATAGTAGCCTGGATCCAAGCCAAATCTTCGAGACTTCAACTCGAATTCCTATTGAAACCCTCAGAGACATTTCTAGTTCAAAATAGGAATGATATAAAAGTAGGTTTAAGGACAAACTAGGTTTAAGCTATCCTTTTGTTTAATCTTCAATGAGAAAAATAAATAAATAAATTCAGAGAACATGCGTGCGTGCACACATACACATATATTTTGATATTTTATGAAATCGGTGAATATTCAGACTTAAATTCATTAAATTCGTAAGCGCACAAATATATATGTTTTGAGAAATCGGTGAATGCAAGAGAAATAGCAAGATCAGTAAGTATAGATACTTAAGCCATTGAAATTTTGAGCTAGTAGTCATATGTCATAACTCATGGATGCCTTTGTCAAATGAACACAATACTTGAAATAAGTAATCACTTATTCCAAGTCTAGAGGTACTTGAAATAAGTAGAATTTAGTGGATGAAACATAGGTAGATGAGAAACTTATTTTGTTTACTTGGGGATAAAAGACACAAGCATAATTATTGGAGTATGACATTGAAGAAAAAATGCTAGCTAACTCAATAATCAATAGGAGGATGGATGTCGAAATCGGTGGTGTGCCAAATGTTTGATGGTGGGTTCCAAAAACACGAGAGGACTAGATAGAGGATACTTGGAAATCATACATTTACTAAAAATTTCAAGCGTATTAATAATTCAAATCAATAATTCGATAATGTAACGCGTCAAATACTCTGGATACAACTTTATCTGATGCAAATTATTATTCTTCTTTTTCTTCGTTTTTGGGGGGTTTTTCTTGTCTCCTTTGAATAAAATTATAAACAATCATTCAACTCATTCCTTTGTATCATTTTCATGGTTGGGAGGCTCTGGACCATCCAGTTGTGTCCATCTAAGAGCTCATTAAGAGGAAAATGAAACATTCTTCTATATATAGAGACTTTTATTGGTAATTATCATGATGGGGATGAAAGGGATGTGGCTGGCTGGACAAATCTAGCCATCAATTGCGTTTACTTTCACTTCAAGTGATAGGACCCACATGAGGTGTCTACCTTCTTCCATTCATTGTAAAAGTTTAATTTTGCTCCAGAACTTTCACTTCAGGTATACTTCTCTACCATAAAATTTTAATTTGCCAATAATTTTTTCTGCACTTTCTAAGAAAAGTTCACATTTCACCATTAATAATCAAGCAACCCCTCACCCACCCACCAGATCC